ATATTCAACTGTATGTCTCGATCCGTGGTGAGTTAAGTAATGCCATGTCCTTCCCCTCGTAGTGCCTAGAGGCTGTTAGAGCTGGATGGGGAGCAACAGGTTATAAACCCCTGCAAGACCGAGTGGCTATGGTTTGGGGTTTGTTGGCTTCAGGAGAATTGCCACTTTTGGTCTTGGATGGGGTGGCACTACCCCAAACAGACCTTGTGCGTAACCTAGGGATTCTCCTGGACCTGCGACTCCTGCTCAAAGAAAAGGTGGCGGTCGTGGCCAAGAGGGCCATTTCCCTACTGTGAATTGTGCGTCAGTTATGCCCTTTCCTGGAACAATGGTCCCTACTCCCAGTCACTCATGCCCTAGTTACTTTCCGTCTTGACTATTGGAGCACACTCTACATGGGGCTGCCCTTGAAGAGCATCCGGAAGCTCCAATTGGTGCAAAATGCAGCAGCCCGCATGGTTTTGGGCAGACCTCGGTGTGCACATGTATCACTTCTCTTGTAAGAGCTACATTCGTTGCTGATTTGCTTCTGGGTGCAATTCAAGATGCTGGTTGTCACCTTTAGAGCCTTCATGGCTTGGGACCAGGTTATCTGAGGGACCCTCTCTTGCTGGTCACATCTACCCAACCCATCAGAGCGTGGAGGCAGGGAATGTTGTGGGCCCCATCCCCGAGGGAGACTCAGCTGGTGGGAGCCAGAAGAAGGGCCTTCTCCGTGGTGTCTCCCTCTCCCTGGAACATCATTCCCCCAGAGATTAGAACGGCCCCCACTCTAATACTCTTCTGGAAGGTGCTGAAGACCTGGTTCTGCCAGCGGGCCTGGGGAACCCAGAGCGGGATGGAGCCCATTAAATGGCTCGTGTGATCGGTCACCAGAGTGGGAGGTGATTTTATTATATTGTACTATATTAGTTTATTTTATTCTTTTTGTTAGTTTTGTTGTTTTAAATGTGGTTTTATATTCTGTAAGCCGCCTTGAGTCTCCATGGGCAAATAGGCAGCAATATAAATTCAATAAATAAATAAGTAGTAAGCAATTTACAATGTTGGTATCACAAGTAAAACAACTTAACTCCTTTTGAAGATCTCCCTAAGTGAGTCAGTAAAAAGAATTTGGGGCAAAACATAATGCTGAATGAAATAATTGAGTAGTATGAATATATGTGGGAGAAATTATCCTTGCCATCTTTAATTATACATTTAAATTGGACTAGAAACTAAAATGGAAACTAGTACAGATCAAATAACAGTGTGATGTTTCAGGGTGCCGTCTTCAGAGAATAGCTGGCTTTCAACCAATAGAATTTTTGTTATGTTTGGCTTCTTTTAGTAATTTAGTCTGGAAAAGGCAATTGACAGTATTTGGCTTTAACATGCCACATTTAGTTGACACCATCTGTGAATCTATTACAGAATGCTCTCAAATTATGAATGAATATAATTTGCCCTTGCCCTTAAATGGCAACTGTCCAGTAAAATAAAACTTTATTGTACTGTATTTATTTTTCCACACATCCAGACTTCCACACCACTCTCAGACATTAGATCAAAGTTCCAACTGCTTCCCTCAAAAAGAACAAAAGGGAGACTGAAGTATATATAATGCTTTTATTGGGAGACAGACCCCTTGAACCACATCTGAACAAATATGGCTAGAATTCATTTGCTCAGGTATAATTAAAACAGATGATTCAGATATTTAAATTCAATATAATTTAAAATTCCAAGAATTATGAAAATAAAGCTCCTTTGTACCTTAGCATATAATATCTGGAGCTACCTTATGATGGAATGCTTAGGTCTTTTATGTCTTCCCCATGTAATTTTGTCAGACAAAATGCTACAGGCAGTAACTGGAAAAACAGATATTTCTATGCATTAACTTAGTACTTAAAAGTTAATCCATCCTATTAATTGAAGTGATTTGTAATTCCAGCACGCTGGATATTCACACAGAGTTTAAGAATTTTTAATAGGAAAATGCCAGATGCAATGTTTTGAAATACATTGATTTATATATTTGCTCATTCTTATTCTGTTATATTTGACTTGAAGACATATGAATGTTGTTAAATATGTAAGTCAATTATTTCATTAAAAGGATATTAAAAATATTTTGATGAAAAAAATTAAAATCTACATTCAGTTCCTGTAGGTTTCTTAAAATTATAATTTCTTTATTTACAGTTACTAGCTAGAAGTTTCCCACCATAAAGAATGTTATGAAAATATAGTATGTTACATTTCTCATTTGTTTTAACAGAGTTTCTACATGTAAAGTCAGTTATGGAAAAGAGAAATCAATTGTCATATTATCCATGGTATATTTTAAAGTCACATAAGATTTTGTGTATGGCTGTGTGCGTGTGCACATTGCCTGAAAAGAAGGGCTAACTTTCATTGTAAACAGTAAGGGATAAATACTAAGGGATTTTTAAAAATCCATGGATATATGCAAGAATAGACTACGTATGATTTTTTTTTAAAAAAAAATTGCAAAGCAGGGAGAAGTAGAGACACAATAGATCTGAATATATGTTGATATATATATTAAACCTTTTTAATGGAATGAAATCCAGCTGCTTAGTTAAGGTCTAAGGTTATAACGACTTACTTTGGGCAGCTATTACCCGGTTGATTTTAATTCAGATACGATATAAATCTCTAAAAAACAAGGAAACGTTCGCGTTTTGATCCATGTCTAAATTAAGATCAATTATTCATATATGATTAAGTAACTATTATTTCCAAACGTACCTGTTAGGCCAGTTTTCCTTGTTGAAAATCTATATAGCCGTAGTTCCTGTTAATAAACGTGCCTCGCTGGTTTGAATAGTGTACTACAGTATTCTCCCAGACTGCCTCTGTTCGAAAGAGCTCATTCGCATAAAACTTCAACCCCCACAATTCCACTCCCGCGCATGCGCCTTAAGCTTATAGTTGTCAAAGTGCTCTTGCCAGAGCAATTTCTATTTATCATATACCAAACCCGAAAGAAGGAAATAGACATACTGTCCCTACCTTTCATTGCTCTTTAAATACAGAACACTCAAAAGGTAAATGTTCTAGGCATCTTGCCTTGACTGTGTGGGTTACTGCATGCAAATGAAGTACGAAGGGGATATTTTTTCTGTAGTATACTTTGGATTGACACAAATATATTCAGTGGGAGAAAAAGGGGTGGAGAAATCAGGGGACTCTGGATATTAACCTACAGGTAGGTATTTGGCTACCTGCTTTTTTTTTTAGAGCAACGTCCTTTTTTTCTGGTTCAGATTATCTACATTCACTAAAAATGGATTTTGACCTTGAGAGAGAAAGGTGTGATTTTTAGTGAAATCTTAAGTGTAATATGAAGTTCTTAGTGGTATTTAAATCAGTTGTTATAATATAGCTTATCTACATTGAAAGACATAGTTTTAATAATATCCTTATTTATAGAAATGTTTTCATAAATAGGCATTTTAAAACCCGATGCAGAGTAATATCCCTGATTTTTTTCCTTTTGCATGAAATATTCTGTGTGTATATTGTCTACACTACTGCTTTGATTAATTTGATCGGAGTGCAGCTAATAGAAAACTACACAAAGGCTTTGATATTATGGCTTGCTGCAGTGCTGCTTTAAAGGTTTGCCTGCACCCCCTACAGCAGCGTCAGAACTGCGTGCAAAGATGCGCTAGTTTACTCCTTTTGGGGATTCTGAATTTAGCTTAGAAGACTCTATATATGCACCCTCTGCAACACGTTATTTTTAGCTCGTGTGTAGATCAGTAGTGAAGAAAATTATTTCTGTGAACTATCCTGCTGTGGATGAATATCCGTACAATATATGCTGCTGGCTGTTCTTACTCGATGGACTAACTATCTGTTTGAAGAGGAATGATAAATTTATGAATCCCTGGAATAGGAGAGACGTGTGAAAGAAAATTACTATGTTCATAATTCTCTTAAGTCCTCTAAGCAGCTGCTGTTATGACGCCTTGATTACTTCTACCTATGCAGTTAAATTGCAAGAAAAAACGAATGATTTCAACACCGGGTAAAGGGGTGGGGGAGGAAGAAAGGGAAGGGAAGAAAGCCACGACACAGCGTTAGATTTTGAATGTTGTACTACTAACTAAATCAGCTTATAAAGTTCAGTATGTTACATGGATGGCTGCCTTTACTCTATTTTACTTTTTCTCATAGCTTTCTTATAAAAAAAGCTAATGAAAGTTCTTGCAATTATTTGTGTATTTATTACATTTTCAACTGTCCAGTAATAAAAGATTTTTGGAAGGATATTAACATGAATGAAAGTAATGATACTTATATATTTCTGAAAGTCTAGTTATTTACAATGGACAGTATTTTAATTCATGCATGCATACTCTAATTCTGCAATTTGCCTTTGGAAAATTGTTACAGCTGTTGAATACTTTTATCAATTTTGAGGGTTTCAGTATTTGAGTATTTTTAAGCCAAAATAAATTATTTTTAAAGAAGGGTTAATCTACGAAGGCATTCATATTATAAAGGAGCGTAACTGAATTCAGTTAACTTTGCTCTCAACCACAACGTTGAATTCTTTAAAATATACGAGTGGGTTACGTTGTGTTGTATTTAACGTGCTTGAAAGAAACACCGAAGCAAGTCGGAAGCAAACCAGTTATTAAGCCGGTTTTATCCAAAATGGTTGTTAAAGCGAGCCAAACTGAATATTTTGTTATGTAGGGTACTTTCCTTCTCTCCTCTCGTCTCGTCTTGAGCGTTTACGCTTATTCTAGACTTGAGCTCGGGGAACTGTTTCGAATTAGTTGGCTGAACCTTTTTGTTGATTAATCAAAATGGGTATTCGGCTCCTTTAAAAGTCTATTCATAGGAAAGGGGTGGAGAAGAGTAAAGGCTGCTGTCTTTTTAACCTTGCTGAAGGACGCAGCAGTATTTATTGACGTATGCAAATAACAGGGGAGGAGGGTGTACGGAAAAACAGGAACCAGAATCAGTTTCTCATTGCAGGGCGAGAGCTCTGAGTTCCGGTATAAGAGAAAGAGACGTGGCGAAATTGCTGTAAATCTGTGCCCTATAAGCACATTTTTCCTTTGCACTGAAAGGAAGCAAGACATCGAAAAGGGTGAAACCTCTTCAAATGTGTTTTTAGAGGCAATGGGAACCGATCGTGCTGATTCAAACCGTTTACCCCTAAGGGGAGTGGGGGTGGGGATTACGTACTAGTATTGCTGTGTCTTGCAATTTGCGGCGGCATTATACTAGCAGTGGAATTGTAGCGAGCAGTGGAAGGCTAAAGCAGCTTTATGAATGTTAATACTCTATGGTTTTTCCTTTTTTCCTCCTTTCAGCTGCGCAAACCATGCAGGATGATTTACTGATGGACAAAAGCAAAGTCCAGCCTCAGCAGCAGCAGCGGCAAGATCCAAACGCAGCAGAAGCTCCTTCTACACCCATAACGTCAGAGACACCCAAATCGGAGGACAGTCCGGTGACTAGCATCGGCTCAGCAGCTCCTGCCCAAAATAGCAAAGAAAAGATGCAAATGGAGTCTCCCATCTTGCCGGGCTTAAGTTTCCACCAGCCTCAGCAGGAGCCTACAGCCGGCACGTCCTTGTCTCCCTCCTTCGGAAGCACTTGGTCTACAGGGACCACAAACGCAGTGGATGATAGCTTTTTTCAAGGGATTACCCCAGTTAATGGGACAATGCTTTTCCAAAATTTCCCTCATCATGTCAATCCTGTTTTTGGAGGCACTTTCTCCCCCCAGATTGGCCTAGCTCAGACTCAGCACCACCAACAACAGCAGCAGCAGCAACAACAAGCACAGCAGCAGCAAAGGAGGTCACCGGTCAGCCCTAATCAGGCATCTTTTGCCCAGAGAAATGCTGCTTACAGCCATCAGCCCATCATGACCAGCAAACCTTCTTCCTCTTCCACTTCCACCTCTTCTCCTTCCAGCTGGAATAACCATCAGAATGCAGCTTGGAGTACACCTTCCAATCCTTGGGGTGGGCTGCAAGCTGGCAGAGACCCTCGAAGGGCAGTAGGTGTGGGAGTTGGTGTGGGAGTTGGAGTTGGTGTGCCATCCCCACTCAATCCCATTTCACCTCTTAAAAAGCCCTTTTCTACCAATGTTATTGCCCCACCGAAATTTCCCCGGGCTGCTCCTCTAGCTCCAAAATCCTGGATGGAAGACAATGCCTTCAGGACAGACAATGGCAATAATCTATTGCCTTTTCAGGTAAAGTCCTTTCTTGGAGTGCAGAACAGGGTGGGTTGGTTGGGAGAGAGGAGGGGCAGAGATATTTTAGCATTTGTCTTATAATTTAATCCTGTAAAATTGAATGTTTTTGTCATTACAGTTTATGCTAGCATTAGGTAGCAGTCTTTCTTCCTATAATTAAACCTAGGTACTTGTAGGCAGCATTCACATATGTTAGTGATTCAAAAACAGATTAGATTATTTCTAAGCTCCTTGTTTCCGTTTGATTTTGAAAATATTTGCATTTTGGTTCTAGCTCTTTTCCTTAATATTTGCCTCCCATTTTATGCATTTTAACTGAAATATTATTTAAAAATGGGAAATAGAGTTTCAAATCTTGTCTAGGTGGTTTCATATTGTAAATTAAATAGTATGACCAAATCCAACAACACTTGAGGAATCTGTTTAATTATCCTTTCCACATTAAAGGACCAATCCCTTTTGTTAAAACTGCTCTGCCTCACTAATGCTGAGAAATGAGGTTCAACAGGATTGTGTTTGCAAAATTAGGCATATGAATGCAAATAACATGCTGAAATTGCTAAAATGTAATCATGATAATATGTTCAGGGTGTGGATTTAAATAGATTTTAGGAAGAGGCTTGGGTGTGTATTGACCTGAATAGCATTTACTATTAATAAGAACATGTATATGGCAATATAGAGATTAAGACACATTAAAATATTTGTGTGGAGTAAACAATTTGATTTTTTTCATACTCAATATCTGAGGAAAGATACAATAGGACATGACCTTCACAGCCATATTGCAATGGGGCCTATTTACTAGCTATATAAGCCTTGAAATATTTAAAGCGGCAGTGTCTTACAATGGTTTTGTTATCTAAGAGGTCAAGACAGATCAATTGCAACAACTGAGACTGAGTAAAATTGAAGCTTTGCAATTTTAATGTGGAATGGAACTTTAGTTGGTATTAAATGTTTACTTAAAGCATGTGGGCCAATTATTCAGTTATCTTATATCCAAATCAGTTTAAGATAAAAGCTTTTCTGTATTCTAATGTATTTTACCCATAAGCTATTATAAGTAAATATATATTAGATTCTTTGTACAGTGAAATTAATTTTGGTTTTGCACTACATTTTTCAATACATACAATATAATATAAACTGTTATAAAATTACAATGTATTCAGTGGTACAGAATATCAACTTACTAATGCTGGTTCATTTCATTTAGTGACCTGCTGCCTTTAGACTTCCATTTGATACTTCACTCTGTTTGAACAAAATAGTTAATAATTTTTATTGGTTCTGCAGTGGCATATTTCTGTCACTTAGTATTTCAATCTTAAAACTAAAGGATAGATTCAGACTTTTTAAAGTCATGCTATTTTTTAAAATTGTATTCCAATGTGGCATTCTAAAATTCATAATTACAGTAAGGTATTCCTCAATTTACAACCACAATTGAGCCCAAAATTTCTGTTGCTAAGTGACACATTTGTTAAGTGAGTTGCCCTATTTTATGACCTTATCTTCTGGTTGTTAAGCAAATCACTACAGTTGTTAAATTAGTAACTCAGTTAAGTGAATCCGACTTCCCCATTAACTGTGCTTGTGAGAAAATCATATGACCTTGGGACACTGCAACCATTATAAATGAGTCAGTTTGATCCTCAGTTTGATGAGAATTTTGATCCTGTGACCATGAGGTTGTTGCACTGATCATAAGTGTGAAAAATGGTCATAAGTCACTTTTTTCAGTGCCATTGTAACTTTGGTTACTAAACAAACTCTTCTGAGTTGAGGACTACATATATATGCTTCTAAATATGAAGTGATGAAATGATAAAATAATTAAATATGTTTTTATATAAATTTTATTAAACATTACAATTACAAAGATAAAAACTAATAGAAACTAAAAGAATAAAAAGGAAGTGCAGGAAAAATATAGAATAGAAAAATAGAAAAAATATAGTAAGAATATGTATATATAAAGAAATAACTTTCTCTTCATCATAAATATGCACAATTTTTTGTAATTTTTTGTTGCCTCTTAAAATGCAACAAATGTATTTTTTCCCTTATGTCCCTTGTAATAAACAGATCCTTAAAGCCTCATCTTTCAGTCCTTATTAGCAAAGGTCTATTAAAAATTACCAGAGATGGCAACATATCTATTTCAACCTTGATCAGACAAACCAACTTTATATTCCTTCCTTTTACTTTTAACAATCTCGATCTTTAATCCCTTCAAATAGGATCCTGGAATTTGATTTGTTTTAGTAATTTCTTTGTTTTTACCAAACTCTTCAAAACTTTTAATAAATATCTCTTGTAATCTAATATAGGATAGTTATTCAGGTTATTCCTTTTAATTAAGACATCAATTGGTTTCATTTGTATATCCTGTATAGCATCTTTTTCCATATTATAGGCCGTCATTTTTAAATCCACTTTCAAATCAACCTATCTTGTCCAGTAAAACTTGTTCTTCTTTCATATCATCTTTTAAACGTTCTATAATGGAGACAGATTTAAAATTAACTACTGGGTCCATTGCTTACAAATATTTTCTAATGTTAAAGTATTCTGCTTCATTCTTTATCAATAATTCACACTTGTGTGAATTTTATTGTAATCTTTAGTTCTTTTTGGTTCCTTCTAGTGTCCAGTGTTCAAGGTCCCAGTTTTTTTTTAAGAATTCAAAGGCAAAGTATTTTCCCATGCAAAGAGTTTTATAATTTCAAAATCTTATTTTAAATCCCTCTAGACCCATACTCCATTTGTAATTTTCCAAAATTAATATTAGAATTACTCTCTTGCTGTTTATTCCAAAAATGATTTTTTAAAGTCCATAAAGTAACTTCTTTGGCTAAAGCAGACTGAAAAAACCTTTGTCAATTCAAAAGTTCTTAATATCTGAAGAGTAATTAAAAAGCAATTCCCAATCATGATTAAAAATGGCTCAGATTACAGTTTAGCCTGATTTCCAAACTCACGAGATTCCATTGTCTTCTGATCTCCTCATGAGGAGCAACTATCTGGAACATGACCCCGAATCTTCTCCCTGTTTAATAATTTTGAAGAGCTGATGTGCTTGCCAGCTCTTCGTTCAACTGCAGTTGTAGATTTTGCTTTGAGCAAAGCCATCTTCAGTTCACCATTTCTTACTCTGAAGACCCAATCTATGCTTCTAACAGTATACAACATGTCGGCATTTGGAAGCATAAATATTTATGCTAAAATGGATTAAAAGTATTGGTATTCTAAATTGTTGGTATAAGGTGATGTATAACACTTTCCTGATTAGCATTCCATTCGAGTTCAGTAAAATTAGGACTCAGATTGTTGGGGGCAATATGCTGACTCTGTAAACTGCTTAGAGAGGATACTAAAGCACCATGAAATGGTATATAAGTCTGCTATTGCTATAGTTGCCTTGGAATATCAGTCCCAAATTGAAGGAATTTATGATAAAAATGCAAAAACAACCCACACTCCTTTTTTATGAACTATAATGCTACATTTAACTAAAGGTAAACATACTTTTCAGAGATTAAATGTGATCCTCAATTGAACATATATTTGTAATAGAAGGAATGGACACTGTAGGTTTATTATGTAAGATTATTCCCTTTTGCCCTTACTCTGTCCAGTCAAAGAATTATTTTCTTTTAGAGTTGTCTTCTAATGGCAACTGATATTTGTTCTTTTGATATTACTGTAGAAACAAGACCCTTGTGTTTTTGCCAAACCATAATACTTAGATTTTTCAAGATTGGGATATATGTTATCTTCAACACTACATTTCCGTTGAATCTTTTCTTTTATAATTATTTGAAGTAGTTGATATTTCTTGCTTGTTCTAAATGTTCCAATGTTTTTTCACTGACAATTTGGCCATTCTTTGGAAAACCATTTCATTTTGAACACAAATAGCCAGCTCCACACATAATCTAGCGATCATGAATGTTTTGTATACTGGATATAAATGCAGAGAAGATATACAGCTTCTCTTCATGTATATTGGTTTAGTAGTTGTTTAGTTGTCATTTTTATTTCTCTGAGAATCCAAGGAACCTTGGTTCTGAAATCTGGACATAAGAATGTTTTATCAAAGTACAATTCTCATTTTATTGTTATATGCCCTTACAATTGAAAATTAAGATTTAATAGTAGGATTCCTTGACCTTAGAGGTTTGAGTACCGTTAAGAACATCTAATGTCACAATGATTGTTTTCAGTATATCAACATTTTGAAAGAACAATTAAGTAATTTATGGTGCTATCTGGGAATATATAATTTTAACCTAGTATGTTGTATTATAATCATGTTGGAACTATAAATATTTTTATACTTCGTGAAATTATTAGCTAGCTAAAATATAAAGTATACATTTTTACATACTATAAGATTTGTTTTTTTTAAAAGCCACAATTGTCAATATGTAAGAGTATCATATCACATATGCTATTGTTCTGTCATCCAAACTGTTGAAATAAATAAGAGCATGTTATACAAAAAACCCTCTTCCAATAATTCTGGACATTAATTACTTGCTATATTAAATTTAATCAGCACTGCATAATATATGCATGTAGTTCAGTCTTAGAAATAAAGTCACTCTTGTTTACAGAAATACATGAGGGAATAAGTGGCATACTTGAAAAAAGACTTAACCTACTCTGTATATCTATTTATATAATGTCCTTTTAAGTGATAGAATGTACAAAATATTTTAATTTATCAGCTTTAAGTGTTAAGAAACCTTTTTTATTCACATTATCTGTTATATAGTTTGTTTCTTCTTTAATATCAAGCTTATTTCTCGTTTTTTCTTGTCTGATTTGATTACGTTTAAGCCCCAGTTTGCTTAATAGCTATTCTGCAAGATAGCATTGTTCTATTGTTGCTTATGGAAGATCTTGCTTGACTTATTAGCAGGATATCCTGGAGCTTAATATGCCTTTTGCAACAACACATAAATTCAGTTCTCTTCTATAGAAAA